CCAGGTCCTCTGTACCTACTTGTATTATGACTTCAGTGTTTTTATGGGAGTCTTGAGTGTGTGAACAAGTGTGCTAATGTGTGGGTCTCTAATTCTTGTGCCTTCTCTTGGGCTCTTTTCCTTCTGTTTGTTTGTTTTATCTAATAGTTTTCTTTTCTTTTCTTTCTGAGACAGGACTTCTCTGTGCAGCCCTGGCTGTCTGGGAACTTGTTCTGTAGACCCAGCAGGCCTTGAACTGAGAGATCCACCTGCCTCTGCCTCCAGAGTGCTGGGATTAAAGGCGTGCGCCACTGCCTCTGCCGCCGCCGCCGCCGCCGCTGCCGCCACCGCCGCCACCCAGCAGTATATGGTCATTTTTATTTTATTATATTTCATTATTATCCCTTAGAAGTCTGTTTGTTTTCTAATGAGAAACAGAAAGGCAGTGGACCAGATTGGAGGGGATATGGGCAGGAACCGGAGGAGTAGGGGGAGGGGAACTGTAATCAGGATATATTGAGTGAGAAAGAAAAAAATCTATTTTCAATAAAAGGGAAAAAGTAGGAAATTCTTCAAAATACCATGACCTCTTCTTGTCACACTGAAGACACATGACAGTTCTCTAATGTCATCTACTCTCCAGTCTGCAACTGTTCCCATCCTCATCAATAGGACAAATGCCTGATGAAGGCAACATTCGATGGAAGGCCTTACCTCGGCTCACAGTCCCAGAGTACAGCCCCTTGTGGTGGGGACATCACGGTGGCAGGAGCCTGAAGCCGCCGGTCACTCTGTGTCCACAGTCAGGAAACGGGGATGAACGCCTGGGTTCTCTTAGTTGTCTCTTTCCTATTCAGTCCAGGACTTCAGCCCATGAATGGTGGTGGCCACGTTTAAGGTGGGTGTTCCCATGACAACCTAGAGACTCCCTTACAGATGTGACCAGATGTTTGTTTCCAGGGTGATTTTAAATCCCATGAGATTAACAATTAAGATTGACTATCACAACAGTTAGTACTCAAGTCTACTTAGAAAATTGCCTAAAATAACTTCATAGAGGCCAGGCGGTGGTGGCACAGGCCTTTAATCCCAGCACTTGAGAGGCAGAGACAGATCTCTGTGAGTTTGAGGCCAGCCTGGTCTACAAAGTGAGCCTGACTTCAGGCTTCCTGGGACTGT